GTGCTTGCGCCGTGCGAATGTTAGATGGCTGATTTTGGTTTGATAAAATTGACCCCTTTTTATGTTGCTGAAGCATCCCGATAGTATGAAAAACTTAGAAGAAACCCAAAATGAATTGTTGGAGCTAATTTTTAAGAAAACCAACGCTTAAAATATTGTGGCCATTCTCATAAAAGCAGTCCAAATTCGTTATGTTGAAACTCAAAAAGAAATAGTTGCAGCGTCTTAAAAGTAATTAGCCCATTCTCGTAGGAGCCCATGTTGCTTTTTTTTTGTTAAACGAATCGTGCACAAGGGCCCAATGGTGGCCTGCCATGCTCATTTTTGTTTGTTGTTTGCCTACTACCCCGTTACCCCCGTGTTCACTGAAGAGACAACGCACAAAGAAAAACGTAGGTGTCGACTGGGATCTAGAAATTGACGGGGGCTACTCGCCGATATTCATCATTTGTGAACGAGATTGAAACGGCCAGCTCTGCCGGCGACACTGGTTTGCTGCGTTCGTCGGCCGAAGATTCTTTTGGTGGTGCCTTGGATCAGGTCGGCGGCGCTGCTTAGATGTGTCGGTGACTGCAGGAGATCCGACGGCAACGGTTTTTGGTGGTGATCTACGCTGAAGGTGTTCGATGGTTCTTCATCTGTGGATTTGCTTTGTTTTCTGTTGACGAACCAATTAGAACACAGCCGGAGGTTACTGTATTGGAGGAGCAGCGATGGACATCCGATGACATGTTCTTGGTTCGTTGGGTCGTGTCACGCTGAAAATGGATGACCGATGATGTCGAGGTTTTGATTTCCGCTGAAGAATTGAGATAAAAAGGGGTTATTGGTCGATGCTGGGAAACGACGATGGCTACTGGAGCAGTTTCGCCAGAGATGGAGGCGAACAGTAGTGGTTCGCTGGTATTGTGACTACTGCCGATTGGAGCTGTTGTCGTATGGAGATGCTCGACGACTAGAGGTTAGCGGGCGATCTGTTGATGCGGGGCTGCTGGATCGTCACTGGTGAGGGAGAAAGGATCGCCGACTGGTGATGGCGACTGCTAATGAAGCGAGGGTTATTGGAGGGTTTTTGACTGGCGGTGCTGAAAACCTAATGGTTGATTGTGATCGTCGGTGGAGCTGTTTCGTCGGAGAGAGTGTCGTTCTCTGAATCGATTCGTTGGAGCCGGGGGTGACCGGTTATGGTCAGGCTCCAGTTATCGGCGACGGGATTCGAAGGTTGCTGCCGGTTTATTTAATCGGAGGAGATGAGTTGCATGAGTCACCAAGTGGGGCCCATTTTGTTTTTCTGTTCATTGAGGATTGGACCACGTGGGTCCCACACGGGTTTTTACCTTTTAGCTTATGGTGTACAGCCTGTACACCTTTCCCCCTGCCATCATTTCATCTTTACATTGTTTTTTCTTCTTCTTTTACGGGTTTCTTAAAAACTTGTATGACCCATACTTTTTGGTATTTTAGCTGTATGCATTGTATGGATATGATGCTTGACTTGTTTTTGTCATGGATTGTTTTCTCAATTGTGGTGCACTGGACATACTATCTCCTCATCCTTTTATTTTTTTGAAAACCATTAATTAAAATGGTAAATTATAGGGTAAAGGTAACTTTTGAAGTAAAATTTTTCTGATGGGTTTTGAAATGTACACAACTTAAACAAACATGTACATATAAATTCATTACTGAAATGAATTTTGATGATGTATGGACTGAAAAATGATAAAAACTCCTAAGAGATTTCTTGAATAAAACCACTAAACCAAATGGGTCTGTGAGAGTTTTAGAAAATCGTCACTAAAAGATTTTCTTGATAATTGAAAATAAGATAAAAACTTACGAGATTTATTTTCCCCTAGTTTTACTTTTTATGTCATCAAAATAAACTGAAATACAGTAACACCTCTACAACTTCTTTTCTTTTTAACTTCCTGAGATGAACACTAAATCAGTAGAAACAACTTGAATGAAGTTGTATTAGAAAAATAATTGACTAAAAATGATTTTCCTTGGAATAATGAGCTGGTAAGAAGGGTAGAAACTTGTAAAAAATTATTTCTCTCTCACCTTGCTGAATAGATCACTAAAACGTGAACCAAAAAGGATTTGAAAAAAAAAAATCGTTTTCCTTCAAGCTTATAAGGGAAATACTAAATAAACAACTTGGTAAAATGTACAAATATTACAGCTGTTCTTACAATTAGCTGCTTCAGGGAGTGAAGTTTTGCACAGAAAATCTTAACTAGAAAGCGATTTTCTGGTAATATGAGCTTAATTAAAGGCTAAAAACTTGTAAAAATTTCTTTTCTCCTTCCTCAGGTTGCTGAAGAAAATATAAACGAAAAATAGATCTAAAAACTGAACAGATCTTGAGATCTGAACTTAAAAACGAGAGCAGATCTAAAGTGTCTTTGCAAACTTCGTGAATGCTTATATGAGTTAAAAACTAAACAAATCTTGAGTTCTAAGCTTAAAAACGAATGCGGATCTAGAGATCTGAACTGAAAATGAAGTAGACCTTGAGATCTGAGCGAGAAAAACTCAATAGATCTGAAAGATTGTGAAGCAAATATAGTAAGAACTAAACTTTTATTTTTCTTCTGAACTTGCTCAACAAACCCCTAAAATATAAACAAAAACGAATCTAAGAAGATTCTTGCAAACTTGGGGAATATTTAAGCGAAGAAAATCGTGTAGATCCATAGATCTGAACTAAAAACGAAAATAGATCTACAGATCTGAAAGATTGTGAAGCTCATTTGGACAGATCTTGTCAAGAAACAAGAAGATCTGAACAAATTATGAGAGAAACGAGCAGATCTAGGCAAACCTGACGTGAAATACAATAGATCTGTTCAGATCTGAGAGAAGACGAGCTTGAAACCAACTGAGGCTTTTGCTACTTGCTCGAATCCGGGATGGCGCCAAATGATGCGACATCGGCTCCGACCACCTTCGCTGAGAATGTGCTTCTACGCCGGAGACAGATCTGCGAGGACACAACAGACAAGCCCATTAGAGCCGCCCTAGGGAATGTGCCCCGGGAGCGGGCTCCGACGGTCAAGTTAGATCATCTGGTAGATCTGAGATGATTATATTTAGCTAGAGAGAACCATCTTGGTGCTGGTAGTGTATGGTGGCTGACGGGGGAGGGTAGCGGCTGAGCCACCCGACCGGAGTATAGTATGGTGGCTGATCCAAGGGAAGAGATCCCCCTCAATGGAGGAGATACTGTTCACTATATAGGGGACAAGTAGGTCAAAGGGAATTAGTCTAGGCCTTGGGCCAACCCAATTCAGGCTCAGCTAGCAAGGAGCTGGGCGAGGCCGCCCGGAGGCGTCGGGCGAGGCTGGCGGGCGCACACCAGGAAAGGCTGGCAGGGGAGCGCCCGGCCGGGCCGGCAGGAGAGTCTCCAGCATGGCTGGCAAGGGAGCGCCAGTCAAGGCTGACAAGGGAACGCCAGGCAGGGCTGGTAGGAGCGCGCTAGGCTAGTCTGGCGCTCTAGAGCAGTCTAGGCCATGCTAATGGACCATATATCAACAAGTCCCCCCAGTCCGATGTTATTAGTACGCGGCTAATGACACTGGACTGGACTAAGTCATATAAACCAGCAGGACAGTCCCCAACGAGGCTGGCAAGGGAGTCCCCGACAAGGTTGGCAAGGGAGCGCCAGGCAGGGCTGGCAGGAGCGCACCAGGCAAGGCTGGCACACTAGAGCGGTCCAGGCCATGCTAATGGACCATATATCAACAAGTCCCCCCAGTTCAATGTTATTGGTACGCGGCCAATGACATCGGACTGGACTTAGACACATAAACTGTGCGTCGTCAAGTCCCCCTATTCCGGTGTGATTGAATTGCTAACAATCGGATCGGACTAGACAAAGCACCAATACATGAAATAATAGAGAGAACGACCAAACCTCGCCCACGAGAGCCGTGGGGTTGTGCGATGAGCTAAGCATTGCTTATGCAGCTTGAGCTGACTTGATACTCCTTTATTGAGAGGAGTGTGATCCGGTTGGTGTGATGCAGCGTAACCGTTGCTGGCAATGTTATGCAGAGTGAGGCTGCTAAAGAGTATACGACATGGATGTCGCGGCATTTCCATCATCTTGGAGGGATGTCATCGATAATTATCTTCACATTCCGTTTCTCATGAGAATTGATAACCATTCTAAAGGTGTTTCTTGCTCGAGCTATTCCTAACTGGATTCCCCCCATTCTGATGTGGGTAGCGTAGGTAGCCGTATCAGACTATGGTACATATGGCAAGATTGTTATAAGAATACACAACGAGGTTGTTTTCTATGATAATAGACAACCAGACTATTGCTAAGAGCCAGACAACATAGATGCTGAGAGATTATAAGTGACAATGTTGCTATAGTTAGCGTTCTTCTTGAAGAGTAACCTTGCTATAGCAAGATGTAATGTAGGAAACGCCTTATTGATCGTCCGAGCATAGGGAAACCATGCTGATTATAAGAGAAAAGACATCAAATGTGGTGCTAAGCATGACATAAACTTATGATGCGCGACGATACACGACTTATGTTGCGCAGCTTAGAAGAATAGTCCGAGCTTAGCAGCTAGCGATCATGGGGATGTCATGCGGGAGAGCATCGCGCGGAACGGATCGGGCTTAGCTGCCAACGATCGTAGATACATCACGTGGGAGAGCATCACATGGAATGGATCGCGCTTGGCTACCAGCGACCGTAGGTTCATCATGCGGGAGAGCATCGCGTGGAATGGATCGGGTTTAGGTGCCAACGATCGTAGATAGCTCACGTGGGAGAGCATCGCGTAGGATCATATAGGCAAAGCTTGCAAGCCTTTGAGCCTCGTATGCGGAGCATGCCGCTGGAGTCGAGCTGAGAAGCCAGGCGACTCAAGGCAAGGGTGCTGAACCTCGCATGCGGCGCTTGCCGCTATAATGGAGTCAGGCTGAGGAGCTGGGTGACTCATGGCGAGGGTACTAAACCTCGCATGCAGAGCTTACCGTTGTAATGGAGTCGGGCTAAGAAGCCAGGCGACTCGAGGCGAGGGTACTGAACCTCGCATGTGGAGCTTGCCGCTGTAATGGAGTCGGGCTGAGAAGCCAGGCGACTTAGGGTGAGGGTACTGAACCTCGCATGCGGAGCTTGCCGCTGTAATGGAGTCGGGCTGAGAAGCCAGGCGACTCGAGGCGAGGGTACTGAACCTCGCATGCGGAGGTTGCCACTGTAATGGAGTCGGGCTGAGAAGCCAGGCGAATCGGGGCCAGGGTACTGAACCTCGCATGCGGAGCTTGCCGCTGTAACGGAGTCGGGCTGAGAAGCCAGGCGACTCGAGGCGAGGGTACTGAACCTCGCATGCAGATCTTGCCGCTGTAACGGAGTCGGGCTGAGAAGCCAGGCGACTCGGGGCGAGGGTACTGAACCTCGCATGCAGAGCTTGCCGCTGTAATGGAGTCGGGCTGAAAAGCCAGGCGACTCGGGGCGAGGGTACTGAACCTCGCATGCGGAGCTTGCCGCTGTAATGGAGTCGGGCTGAGAAGCCAGGCGACTCGAGGCGAGGGTACTGAACCTCGCATGCGGAGCTTGCCGCTATAATGAAGTCGGGCCGAGGAGTCAAGTGACTCAACGCGAGGGTGTTGAACTTTGAAGGGTTGGGCATATCATCCTACAATCTATGTGTCTGGCCCGGGTGATCAGTTCGTGTTGAAGTGTATTGGTGCCTGATGCTTTGTTGCATCACTAGTTGTAGTGATGATTGGTGCGTCGTCTTTTAGTGACTTAGTCGAGGGCCATTCAGCGAGGCCACCGGGAGCCGGACAGTGGAACTGTTGTCAAGAGGTGTGTAGTGGGAGTATTGTCGAGAGTAGAGCAACATGGCCGCTGAGGGCCAGAAAGAGAGCTGCTAGCAATGGATGAGCAGTGCAACTGCTGAAGGCTGGGCGACGAGACTCCCAAGGGTTGAACTATATGGCTGTTTTTTCGATCTAATGTCACCTCGGGAATGCACCATCACGTACAATATCGGCTCTTCATATACTTCAATGCTACCCATTCAGAATAGAAATCACTTCTGCATAGTGTCGTACAAACCTTCCCCCCCCCCCTTTTATTTTTTTTAAAGAGGAGGCGAGAAAAGGGGGGAGGCGGACCCATAGCTGCTGGAAACTGGGTAACATAGCTGCTGAAAAATCTAGGCAACACAAGTGCTGACAAAAACTGGGTAGTGCGACTGCCGAGAGCTAGGCAGCGCGATTGCGGGATGTCGGGCAACACGACTGATGAAAGCTGAGTAACGAGACTACATGGAGCTGGTCAGCGCGGATTCTGTAGCCGGGCAGCGCAGTTGCTGAGGGTTATTTCGAAATGCTTTACAAATAGTAGTAGTAGCAATGTACTACTCTTATCCCTCCTCCTTTTTTTTTGGGGAATGTCAAGTTGGACCGCAATGTATCTTTTGGATTTTGACTTTGTTGGACCGGCTTGCAATACGTGATCATTAGCTGTTGATTTTTATCTTGCTAGAATGGGCCCAATAAGATGAAAAATTGATGTAGGGAAAACCACATTGCTAAAATAAATTCAAGAGCCCATTTGGAAGTGACTAGCCCAACTCCTTTTCTTTCTTGTTATTTTTTATCATATATATTTTGAAAGTGTCGAGCGGTCTGGTCCGCCATGCATATTCCAAAGCGTACTATGTTAAGCGGTGCTTGCGCCGTGCGAATTTTAGATGGCTGATTTTGGTTTGATAAAATTGATCCCTTTTTATGTTGTTGAAGCATCCCGATAGTATGAAAAGCTTAGAAGAAACCCAAAATGAATTGTTGGAGCTAATTTTTAAGAAAACCAACGCTTAAAATATTGTGGCCCATTCTCATAAAAGCAGTCCAAATTCGTTATGTTGAAACTCAAAAAGAAATAGTTGCAGCGTCTTAAAAGTAAGTAGCCCATTCTCGTAGGAGCCCATGTTGCTTTTTTTTTGTTAAACGAATTGTGCACAAGGGCCCAAAGGTGGCCTGCCATGCTCATTTTTGTTTGTTGTTTGCCTACTACCCCGTTACCCCCGTGTTCACTGAAGATTCAACGCACAAAGAAAAACGTAGGTGTCGACTGGGATCTAGAAATTGACGGGGGCTACTCGCCGATATTCATCATTTGTGAAAGAGATTGAAACGGCCAGGTCTGCCGGCGACACTGGTTTGCTGCGTCCGTCGGCCGAAGATTCTTTTGGTGGTGCCTTGGATCAGGTCGGCGGCGCTGCTTAGATGTGTCGGTGACTGCAGGAGATCCGACGGCAACGATTTTTGGTGGTGATCTACGCTGAAGGTGTTCGATGGTTCTTCATCTGTGGATTTGCTTCGTTTTCTGTTGACGAACCAATTAGAACACAGCCGGAGGTTACTGTATTGGAGGAGCAGCGATGGACATCTGATGACATGTTCTTGGTTCGCTGGGTCGTGTCACCCTGAAAATGGATGACCGATGATGTCGAGGTTTTGATTTCCGCTGATGAATTGAGATAAAAAGGGGTTATTGGTCGATGCTGGGAAACGACGATGGCTACTGGAGCAGTTTCGCCAGAGATGGAGGCGAACAGTAGTGGTTCGCTGGTATTGTGACTACTGCCGATTGGAGCTGTTGTCGTATGGAGATGCTCGACGACTAGAGGTTAGCGGGCGATCTGTTGATGCGGGGCTGCTGGATCGTCACTGGTGAGGGAGAAAGGATCGCCGACTGGTGATGGAGACTGCTAATGAAGCGAGGGTTATTGGAGGGTTTTTGACTGGCGGTGCTGAAAACCTAATGGTTGATTGTGATCGTCGGTGGAGCTATTTCGTCGGAGAGAGTGTCGTTCTCTGAATCGATTCGTTGGAGCCGGGGGTGACCGGTTATGGTCAGGCTCCAGTTATCGGCGACGGGATTCGAAGGTTGCTGCCGGTTTATTTAATCGGAGGAGATGAGTTGCATGAGTCACCAAGTGGGGCCCATTTTGTTTTTCTGTTCATTGAGGAGTGGACCACGTGGGTCCCACACGGGTTTTTACCTTTTAGCTTATGGTGTACAGCCTGTACACCTTTCCCCCTGCAATCATTTCATCTTTACATTGTTTTTTCTTCTTCTTTTTACGGGTTTCTTAAAAACTTGTATGACCCATACTTTTTGGTATTTTAGCTGTATGCATTGTATGGATATGATGCTTGACTTGTTTTTGTCATGGATTGTTTTCTCAATTGTGGTGCACTGGACATACTATCTCCTCCTCCTTTTATTTTTTTGAAAACCATTAATTAAAATGGTAAATTATGGGGGTAAAGGTAACTTTTGAAGTAAAATTTTTCTGATGGGTTTTGAAATGTACACAACTTAAACAAACTTGTACATATAAATTCATTACTGAAATGAATTTTGATGATGTATGGACTGAAAAATGATAAAAACTCCTAAGAGATTTCTTGAATAAAACCACTAAACCAAATGGGTCTGTGAGAGTTTTAGAAAATCGTCACTAAAAGATTTTCTTGATAACTGAAAATAAGATAAAAACTTACGAGATTTATTTTCCCCTAGTTTTACTTTTTATGTCATCAAAATAAACTGAAATACAGTAACACCTCTACAACTTCTTTTCTTTTTAACTTCCTGAGATGAACACTAAATCAGTAGAAACAACTTGAATGAAGTTGTATTTGAAAAATAATTGACTAAAAATGATTTTCCTTGGAATAATGAGCTGGTAAGAAGGGTAGAAACTTGTAAAAAATTATTTCTCTCTCACCTTGCTGAATAGTTCACTAAAACGTGAACCAAAAAAAGGATTTGAAAAAAAAAATTCGTTTTCCTTCAAGCTTATAAGGGAAACACTAAATAAACAACTTGGTAAAATGTACAAATATTACAACTGTTCTTACAATTAGCTGCTTCAGGGAGTGAAGTTTTGCACAGAAAATCTTAACTAGAAAGCGATTTTCTGGTAATATGAGCTTAATTAAAGGCTAAAAACTTGTAAAAATTTCTTTTCTCCTCCCTCAGGTTGCTGAAGAAAATATAAACAAAAAAATAGATCTAAAAACTGAACAGATCTTGAGATCTGAACTTAAAAACGAGAGCAGATCTAAAGTGTCTTTGCAAACTTCGTGAATGCTTATATGAGTTAAAAACTAAACAAATCTTGAGTTCTAAGCTTAAAAACGAATGCGGATCTAGAGATCTGAACTGAAAATGAAGTAGACCTTGAGATCTGAGCGAGAAAAACTCAATAGATCTGAAAGATTGTGAAGCAAATATAGTAAGAACTAAACTTTTATTTTTCTTCTGAACTTGCTCAACAAACCCCTAAAATATAAACAAAAACGAATCTAAGAAGATTCTTGCAAACTTGGGGAATATTTAAGCGAAGAAAATCGTGTAGATCCATAGATCTGAACTAAAAACGAAAATAGATCTACAGATCTGAAAGATTGTGAAGCTCATTTGGACAGATCTTGTCAAGAAACAAGAAGATCTGAACAAATTATGAGAGAAACGAGCAGATCTAGGCAAACCTGACGTGAAATACAATAGATCTGTTCAGATCTGAGAGAAGACGAGCTTGAAACCAACTGAGGCTTTTGCTACTTGCTCGAATCCGGGATGGCGCCAAATGATGCGACATCGGCTCCGACCACCTTCGCTGAGAATGTGCTTCTACGCCGGAGACAGATCTGCGAGGTCACAACAGACAAGCCCGTTAGAGCCGCCCCAGGGAATGTGCCCCGGGGAGCGGGCTCCGACGGTCAAGTTAGATCATCTGGTAGATCTGAGATGATTATATTTAGCTAGAGAGAACCATCTTGGTGCTGGTAGTGTATGGTGGCTGACGGGGGAGGGTAGCGGCTGAGCCACCCGACCGGAGTATAGTATGGTGGCTGATCCAAGGGAAGAGATCGCCCTCAATGGAGGAGATACTGTTCACTATATAGGGGACAAGTAGGTCAAAGGGAATTAGTCTAGGCCTTGGGCCAACCCAATTCAGGCTCAGCTAGCAAGGAGCTGGGCGAGGCCGCCCGGAGGCGCCGGGCGAGGCTGGCGGGCGCACACCAGGTAAGGCTGGCGGGCGCGCACCAGGAAAGGCTGGCAGGGGAGCGCCAGGCGAGGGAGTGTCGGGCCGGGCCGGCAGGAGAGTCCCCAGCACGGCTGGCAAGGGAGCGCCAGGCAAGGCTGACAAGGGAACGCTAGGCGGGGCTGGTAGTAACGCGCCAGGCTAGTCTGGCGCTCTAGATCAGTCTAGGCCATGCTAATGGACCATATATCAACACTGGTCAAAGTCAAAGTCAAGGTCAACTCCCAGTCAACCCCAACTCGTCGAATCATTTCCCAACTCGGCGAGTTCATGTATAATTCAGACCCGTGGTCAACTAAGTCAACTCGTCGAGTCCCTTCCCATACTTGTCGAGTTCTTCCTGTCATAACATCGGGACATATTGATTCTAACTCGTCGAGTCCCTCCTTGGAATCGTCGAGTTCTTCAGCTTCCGAGTCCTAATCTTGTCCAGCTCACTGAGTCATCTCCTAAACTCAATGGCTTCACTCACAACCAGAAAAGGGATTACGGTTCACGACCCTACTCGTCGAGTCCTAAAACAACTCGTCGAGTTCTCCATGTGACATATCTATTCAGTC